AGTTCATAACATTTGTACAGTGCTTCTAGTTCTTTTGTTGTTGGGAAATGTTCCACTGAAGAATTTAAAAGTCTTGTCAGGTTTCTGACTGCATTTTGCTTGATGAACATTAACTTGAAATGGTGAGTTTTAAACATAGAATCATAGAATGGCCTAGACTGGAAGGGGCCTTAAAGATTATCTGTTTCCAGACCCCTGCCATGGCAGAGATACTTTCCACTAGACCAGGTTGCTCACAGCCCCATCCAGCCTGAAAACTCTGGGGATGGGGCATCTAGAGCTTCACTGGGCAGCCTGTGCCACTGCCTCATTACCCTTACAGTAAGGAATTTCTTCGTAACATTAAACCTACTCACTGTCAGTTTAAAACCATTTCCCTTTTGTCCTGTCAGTACATGATCCATATTTTATGTAGGCTCCCTTCAGGTACTCCAGGGCCACAATTAAAATATCCTTAAAACTTCTCTTTTCCAGGCTGAAAAACCTCATTTCTCTCAGCCTTCCCTCATAGGAGAGGTGCTCCATCCCTGTAATCATCTTGGTGACCCATCTGTGGATTCATTCCATTAGGGCAATGTCCTTTCCACGCTGGGAACCTCAGAGCTGGATGCAGCTCTCCAGGTGGGGGTCTCACCAGAGCAGAGCAGAGGGGCAGAATCCCTTCCCTCACCCTGCTGGCCACACTGCTTTGGACAGCCAAGATCCAGTTGGTGTTCTAGTCTGTGAGTGCACACTGCTGGCGCATGTCCAGCCTTTCATTTATCAGCACACCCAAGTCCTTCTTGGCAGGGCTGCTCTCTCTCTGTTCATCCCCCAGCCTTGGTTAATACCAAGGGTTGCCCTGACCTAGGTGCAGCTTGTGCTTCAAAAGAAAAACCTGTGTTCACCTGATCAGAACACATGGCCATGTGTTTGGTGAGTTCTCTTAACTCCATCCTAATGTGTAGTTCCTTCCCTTTCTTTCCTCTGTCACCATGAATATTTTCTAATAATATTTTGCATGGGATTACCAGTGGAAGTTGTTAGTACTTTTGCAACACTATGCTAAAGAATGAATTTACCTAAGTGCACCGTTTTTACATTTTTAATGAATGGTTACACTGCCAGTCTGTCCTGTGCAACAGAGAACCGAGTTCCCAGAGTAGAACAGGAAGAGTAATTAGAGGATTAGAAATTGCCATGCAATTGGCATACTACTTCTGTGAGATTGTGTTGGCATATGGGGGTGTGTGTGTGTCTATGTATATATATGAAAGAGGAACTGAAATACAAGACCTGATTCCTACGTTTCTTCACCTCACCAGTCTAGACCCTGTGTACCTGAAGGTCCAAAACCTCAGGTCACTGTTACTTTCCAAAGGGTTTAAGACCTATTTGTAATAACTTCATGAACTTTGCTGTATTTACTTTCATAGCTGATTGGGCAGTGATCTGTCTGTCTGAAAAGCAAGCTGCAGTCTGTGTATGAGGTTTCCCAGTGGCTTCTTGTCCTAGGAAATAAGCAACTAAGTTCCATCTGCATATCTGCCTGCATTTGGCACAGACCCAGTTATTCTCACACCTTCTTACAAAGAGTACCACAACAGTGTTTTTCCAATATCTGTGCATATGCTTGTAGCATGAGTGACTAAATGAGTGTGTTAGTGAATACTGGAATAAGGTAACATGGATTGGAAGGTGCCTGCTGCTAACCTGGCAACAGTATGACACCATAATTGCATAAAGCTGCTGTAATATAAAAGTCTGCATGGGGATAAGTGCTCTGATTCAGAAGTCTACCAGCTGTTTACTGTCCCCAGTGACTATTGGGAAGTAGATAAATTGGCTGCTGGTTTTAGCTTCAGAATGAGCACAAAGTAAGCAACCTGGCTACAGCAGCTGCAGCTTAAGTCTCTAATCCCAGTTTCTACTCTTTTTGTTACTGGTTTTTAGCAGCTTGCCTCATGTTACTGTGCTGTTAGTTTTGTGACAGGGATGGATAGTGGTGTGAATTGTACCACCACATTTCTCTGTTGTGACCTGTGCTGTGGTTCACCCTAAGAACAGGTGACAGCTCTTTCTAGTGGAGTGGAATCCTGTTAGGAGTGCAGGCAGTTGCCAGAATACCCTCCAGTGCCTGTCCCACTTCCCCTGGGAGTTTGGACAGCTTGGACACTGCATGTGACTGCTTCACTTGGCAGCATCGAACAACACAAAATCACATACAAAAATGCTGCTGTTAGGAAGTGTCAGCAAAAAGTCTTTGAAGGTCTTCAGGGTAGTTGGGTGCAGTGATGCAATTGGGTAGCAGACAGGAGCACTGCAGGCTCTTAAGCCTTCCCCTCTTCCCCTACAGCTGCAGCCTGCTCTGTTTTCTCTGGAGTTCATCAGCACAGTTCTGTTAGGTGTCATGTAGAAATACAGGTTTCCAATTAAAAAACCCAATATTTATCTAATATTAGAAGTTTTCTTCATTTTCTTTCTTTATAACCATGCTATTGTCAGACTTCATATTAATATCATCGTACTTCATCAGTGTTCAGGGAATAATAGTCTTGATTAGTTTTTTGGGCCACTGTCATTTATGATTTTCAGTACAGAATATAATCTTTTAGAAAGTTTAAATTTAGTGGAGAATTTAAAATATCTTTCAACTTTTCAGTGAAAAGATTATATTTGGACATACTAACTTCTGTGCAGCAGCTACAGACATACATTTTGAGAGCTCTGACCCACCGACTCAGAAATCTTTGTGATGCATATGTAGCCAGCCACGTGTAAACCTTTGCAGAAATAAGATAAAAATCTTCTGGGTCAAAGACAATAGTTTTTTCCCCTTATATAGCTCCTGTATTGTAGCTCAGGGTTTATTATTACATTAGTACTGTACCACGTATGCATCAGTGACTTGCTTTCTATCACAATTCAGTTGTTATTCTGATGATGTATCACAAGAGAAGGTTATGTGGCAAAAAAATAATCCTTTTTTTATCCCAGGTGTTGTTAAAGGAATACCAAATAATTCTTTGGGACTTGTGAGAAGCTTCTTTTCTGTTTCTGAAGAGCAGCAGTTGGGTGAGACTCCAGTTTCTGTTTGTTGCTGAAGATAGCTTCACCAAACTATTTCACTATCCCTTTTACTGCAGTTAAAGGCAACTGCTCATCTCTCTGCACTTTACTGAGGCAGAGCAAAGGACAAGATAATCCCCTTAGCCTGTTAAATGCTCCATCCCATCTGGTAGGTGATAATTGCATTGTAAGGGGATTAACACAGTGGGATATGCTTACAGTGTAATGAAAGCTTCACTGTAAGTGTGAAAGTCGACTGATTGCATCTAGCACGTGGGGACCTTAAATTTGCATGCATTTTTTATAAAACTTAAAAGACAAGTTACATCTGGGGAAGGTACACAGTACCTTTACATGCCATCTTTTACATATTTGTAACAGAATTTACATTTGTTCTGGACTATTAGTAGACTGAATATCTGAAATCCTCTTGTAGGAGTAGAGCAGTAGATGCCTGTTTAGCCAAATGTTTTGACATCATTCTGTGGACTATAGCTGTATTAAATGCATCCCAGGTGTTGACTACTGTTAATCAAAAGTACTATGACTTTGAAACCATGGAGTTTAATTGTTACCAATCTAGGAACAGCCATGTTATTTAAACACTGCCTGGAAATCTTTATCAGTAAAGGTGAAATTTGAATAAGCCATACTGTGAGGAATATCATTGTAATTTTGTGTCAGCGGGGATTTCTGTCAAGAAGATTTCTGGCTGAAAGTAATTCTTTGTGTACCAACCAAAATAAATACTTTGAAATTTTAGTTCGAAGCATGAGCTTAAGGTAATGCAGATTGACTTATTATTTTACAAAAAAAGTTTAAAATCCTATGGTATTTAAGTTTATCTAATGCTGTAGTGAAGATAGTAAATCTTAAGCATTTCATAAGCTAATTGCACCTTACCTTACCTTTCAAGATGATAAAGATCCTTGAGAAGATAATTTATGTAGAGCAGTAGCTCAGAGTTGATTATCACCCTGTTGGATTGCACTCTCTCTAGTCTTCCCATACGGTACAAGAAACTGGGCAAGTTGCTCTGTGCTGACCTGCATGTGCCACGTCACTGGTTTGAACATTAACCTGAGTGGTTAAAACAGGGTTTGGTTAGTGCACACTGTGCTGGGATAGATCTTTGTAGTCAGGTGATCAAATGAAAGTTGTGTATAGAAGTACCCACTGTGTACAGAAGATGCTTTAGTGACATTGTATGACCTTGCTGCAGGATTAAATTTTGTAATGAATTAAAGTTCTGTGTGGCTGCTGTTTCTCTGGTTTCCATTTCCTGACTTAGCAGCACTGTGTGCATGTGTGATTCTGAGAGTAAGGGTAAAATAAAATCTAGAGGGGTTTTGTGGGTGTCTGCAGTAATTTTGCCAGTCTGTGATGAGGTTGTTGAGTGTGGTTAAGCTCAACCTTCTCTTACTTAATCATGGATCTGAGTGGGGTCAAGTAGAAGGCTGGTTTTCCAGGTTCTGGTGATGAGACATGGAATATTTCACAGATTTTTTTTTCTTCTTCTATTTTTGCTATTTCTTTTAAGGCGACTGAACTCTAAAGAATATTCTTAATTATTTCCTTTTAGGCTGAAAACGTTTACCTGAGGAGAAGAAAACTAGAGAAGTTTGCTCTTGTTTTCTGACATGTTGTAATTTTAAATAAGCTTAGGTGTAAGGTCATGGAACTCAAAAACTAAACAACATCCTTCCACAAAATGAATACATTCCCCTTTTCCCACCTCACTCATTTCTGGAATATGAGTTTATGTCACATGAAAATCCCTCTTGAAAGAACCATTATGCTTGCAATATACAGAAAGTATTTTTAAGAGCAATTTTCAGATATTTAGAAATGGGTTTTTAACTGTCCTTCCATAGATATATATTTAAAATATATACCAACTATGTAGCAAACCAAATAATATATGGTATATAATAAATTTTCTTCTTATTTAGGTGACAAACAGCATGTTTGGTGCTTCAAGGAAGAAGTTTGTAGAGGGGGTTGATGGTGACTACCATGATGAGAACATGTACTACAGCCAATCATCAATGTTCCCACATCGGTCAGAAAAAGATGTAAGTTGAATAAGCTTATTTTTTCTCCTTTCAGTACTGAGATAGTTTCAAGTATGTGAAATGTATGTAAAGAAGCGCTTCATTTAGCTTTAAGTTGTACATTTCCAGTGGAAAGTGCTTTAATTTAGTGAATGTATTAATGTAAACTTCAGCCATATGCTTGCAATTGTTGTTTGGGTTTTTTCATCTTGAAGCATTGCAATTGTAATTTAAATTGAGTTATTGATTATATCTTGTGCTTCTGTGCAGTGTCTACAGGTTTGTTGTTGTGTTTTTGCATTTTAAATCTTCAACCATTTTTAGTTTCTGAAAATGCTTTGTGCAGTTTGTTTGCTGAAGTAATCTAAGTTAGGTATTTCTCCTATTTGGAGTGCCGCACGGTTACAAAACTAGTAATTCCTAAACAATTTTCCCCTCAGTAATGACAAATTTGATGTTAGAACTGTACTGACATTACTGAAGCTCTGTTGCTTCTTACCAAAGAGAAATAGATTAGGCAGTAAAGTATTTCACTTTTATATGGAGTGGCATGAAGAAATACATGAAGGACTTGAAAGTATGACTTGAAGTTAAAGTCACCTGCAGGTCACTAATATCATCTCATGGCCGGCTTGCATTTAATATGTGTAGACAACATATTCTTCCTAATTAAAAAAAAAATTCATTCTAATTTTTAAAAATGTAAAAATGCTTCAAGTCTTCCTCCAAGACTGTTCAGAAATATGGTTAATAGCAGTTGTGAATATAGTCTTGATAGACCTTGACCTGTGTCAATAGAAGCATTTCCTACAGACTCTTAGCTGAATTTTAATTTAGATTTTCAAAGAGAAGGAAATAGATTTAGAGTAGAAGGCCTTTTTCAGACAAAATTGAATTAAAAAAAAAAGGCGCAAATGCAGCTTTCCAGCTCAGTTTCATAAACTGATAATAGACAGCAAAGGATTAAAATGTAGTACAGTGTAAACAGAACTAAATGGGCTGCTCTTTTCTCTTTATATTGATTACATGTGTACATGTACCACAGATGCACAATAGAATATTTATGATGTGGAATATACATCCTTTTTCTGGTCACCGAGAGGTGCAGCTAACACTCAAAAACAATAGACAGAATTTCTCCAAAGTGATTTTTGTACATTAAATCCCTACTTTTAGATTTGATACGCTGAGGGTAAAATCATTATGGTGTAGTAAGAAAGGTAAAGTGAGATAAATGCTGCGCTGCACAGCATACACGGTGAAAGCTGATGGCTTGACACATTGTTGACACCGTGAATGAATGTTTTATTTACCTACTTTTTCTGTAGGTAGAATTGTAGAAGTGCATCTTAGAATGGCACTTCAAGAGGAGGAAGGTGGGTGTTCCATACATCAGGAATGATAAATGAGAAATCTTGAAGGCTTGTGGGAGAAGTGGCCAAAATGGGGCACAGAAGCCTGCTGTAGTTGGCAGAATAATACTGCCATTTCAACAGGAAATAGAAGAGCAGATTTGCAAAAGCTTTTTAAAATTTTATTTCCAAATTAATTTAAGGTTACACAAGTCCTGTAGCTTCACTATTGACTATTACAACTGTCTGAGTTTGTTTATGAAATTTTAAACTGTTACATGTTACTCTAATTTTTTAAAATAAGCTTATAAAATAAATTTATGGTGATAATATTGACTGTACACCTTTGATCACTCAGGTATAGCTAAATGCATACTGTGTATTACATGTTCCATTTGCTGTTTCATTTGGCTCACAGTAGATAAAAGGAGGATTGGAAAGGTTGTTACATTCTCTTGGTCTCCAACTTCTTTCACAGCTTTGTAAACCTTTACGTATTGAAAATAACCATGTTTTCAAGTAGTCTTTAAACTAGAATTCAGCTAAAAATGTTGTATATGAAAATAAAAGAAATATATTGATTGCTGTTTATATAAGTGTTGACAGACTAAAATAAAATTGCTCAAAGTTTTTCCAAGTAAGCTAATAAAGACTAATGTTCAAAATCTAGATCTAGTTTTATGAATACCTGGGGGAAAAATTCCAGCATTCTAGATCTTGAAGCACTTTGAATCATTCTGTCTTCACATCTACTATGGGAATAAAATAAAGACAGAAGAAGTATTGGGGAAAGAAGCAAATTACTCTTACATTATCCAAACAAGGTGCAATTCTACTGCAATTTAAGCTATTCCTCTTTTTTCATTTTCAGCTTCATTTATGTCTTTACTGAAAGCAGATAAAATTAATGTTGAAGGCTTTTGCAACTGACCTATAAAAATTACAGGAATTTATTTTTTTTTTATCTTCGATGTATGATATGAACATATGAATGCAGAGTCCTTCATTTATGCTGTGTTTATCTTCTAGAGTTCTTCCAACAAAAATAGAATGGTTTTGGTGGAAACTTCTGTGAATGGCCTCCCTAAATACTGTTTTTCAGCAATGGCTAAAGCTTGTTTAGTATTTACCCTTATACTGGATATAACTAGGTGTTTCTGGTTTTCATTTTCTTGAAGTTTTACTGATTCTGATCTTGAAAGTTGCTGCTTTCCAAGGAACTGTTGCTGCTTGTGTGTATGTATGCTCCAAGCTGAGTATAGGAATGGGGGAGCATAGGGAATGGTGAAATCCTCCTAAAATTTAGAGTAAAGGCTATTACTGCAAGTGTATTTGTACAAACTTCAAAACTTAGTTTTCACTTTATTTTTGCAGTAAAGTCAAGCCAAATCCTGTCCTAAATTTCAAAGACTTCTGACATGGGGAAAGAACTGGCAGCAAGTAATTTTGGACACGTTACTTTTATTTCAGCCTCAGTTTAGCTAAGAGATTTTTCTTTTCATTTACCTGTTCTTTCACTAGAGAAAGCAGCTGTAGATAAACAGGACTAATATGGTAATAGAAATTGAAAAGTTGCATGTTACTCACATGCACAAGTGCTTCCAAGATCATGTGGATACTGACTGGATAACTTATTTTAGACCCCCAGTTATGGTTCCTATCTGTGAATATTTCTGCACTTGGTCAGTGCATTATAACCAGGTCAATAATCCTTTGGCAAATAAATTAGGTGTTTTACAGTACTTTCAGAACAAAGAATAGGTTAAAGGAGTGTAACTTTTTACTGGCAACAAGTGGCATCCTTTTACTATAAATTGACAAGATGGTGCACTGGACACCTGCAAAACAATTGCAGAGCTTACTTGTAGCTAATTTCATCAACTTAATTGAGCTGTCTGTGCACGCAGCAAAATAATTTTCAGGACATGGATACATGTACTTTTATTTGGATAGAGTGACAATGGTATAAATTGGTAGCTCAAGGCCCTCATGTACTTTTGAAACTACAGTTGTTAAATGAACAAAACAAAAATGCAGATGAGCTTTGAGAAAAGATAGGACCAATTCAGTTTGAACTTCTTTGATTTCTCATGTATGAGAATATAAGAAGGACTCCACAAGGTTTGACCAATCTAGCCCAACCCACTGAAAATGTGTACATGAGAGTGTAAGATAAGGGCATAGTCTGTTGCTTTGTAGTCATAAATCTGACAGTAAACACACATGCATTTTAATTAAGGTCTACCCAATCAGAAAACGTAAGAGATTTTTTTCAGTTAGTATTGTTCCAAATCTTGGCCCAGTTCTTTGCTGTTCATTTTCATTTTGGGTTGCTCAACAGATAGTAAAATGCTTGCAGTGAGGTAGTAGTAATGCTTCTGATTTGTGTTTTTAATTGCAGCAGGTGAGATTTAGCTTGAAGATTAGATTAGTGTCATTGTAATTGTTTGTCTGACTCCCTAGCACTAGGAAGTCCTCAGATTTGGATACTGAGTACAGAGAAATGGATTGTTGGTTCTGAGAGCTTGCTTTCCAGAGGTTTCTGCCATCCTGAGCTGAAGCATGTCTGTGGTGGATGAAATTCAGGTGTTCCTTTGTCATGAGACAAAGTTGCACAAAGGCAGATATCAGTGGTGCTGATACAACAAAGGGTGATCACAGGCCTTTTACTGTGATTCTGTTAAACTGATTTATAGAACCTTTACTTTTACCATGTTTTGAAATACTTGGCCTTAGAAGGTGGTACTTTTACAAGAGAGAAAACCTTGAAGGTTTAGCTTACTGTTGTGATTAAGATGCAGAATCTTGCTAAGTTTTGGAAACTAGGTGCGTAAGAGTTTAGTCAGTTTTCTGGAGACAACTTTGACTTTAAGGCTGCTGAACCTCATTGATCCAGATGAATTGCTGTCTTTTTAATGCTATTATTTCAGGATTCTGAGGATACCTATGGTATCATGTTCCATAAGGTATCTTTCTTGCTTTAGTCATAATTTACTTCAGATACTTTACATAGAGTTCTACGTATTTAACAATTCCCATGAAACCCCCTTGTGTCAGGAGCAGTTGTAGCATTCACACTTAATGCTGGTTGGCTGAATAGCTGAATATACTGTACTTGAACCTAAATTGTAATTGTCTGAATAGTTTTGATCCATTTGTGGACTGAGAAAAAACCCTAAAGTTTATTTTGAGAAATGAATAGATTAATGTTGTAATTATAAATGGCAAATGAATGTTTTCACATGCATTACTTTGCATGTAAACATTCTTACAGGTTTGACTGAATAGTGAGTTGGTTTGCCCTGCTTGCTTCGTGAAAAACATGATTTAGGCTTCACTCTTTGAAGTGTGAGTTACAAAGCAACAGAGTTACTTTTCACTGTCCAGAAGAGTGATTAAACATTCCTTGCATGTATTATTGAGTACACAATAAGGGTTGTTTTTTTTTTAACCAAACAACCAACAAATGAAACAAAAATAAAACAAAAACCCTAATGGAAACAAACTTTAAATGTATGAAAACTGCAATGCCACTGATAGTGGCAAATGTGGCAAAGTAGTTGGAATAGTTGGATTTGAAGGGATTGAGATTAGTAACAGTTGAAGGAACTTTGTGTTTTAATGCAATTCCCTTTCAGAGCCTATCATCATTCTGCCTATAGTGTACAT